GCTCACCACACACCAGCTATAGGTGGAGAGGAGAGAAAATCATAGAGCCAATCAAGTGGTTGTGGATTATTAGGAGTCCATGATTGACAAGGTCCGGGGGGAAATTTTGCCAGGACACCGGGGTTACACCCCTACTCTTTACGAGAAGTGCCATGGGATTTTTAATGACCACAGAGAGTCAGGACCTCGGTTTAACGTCTCATCCAAAAGACGGTGCTTTTTGACAGTATAGTGTCCCCATCACTATACTGGGGCGTTAGGACCCATGCAGACCACAAGGTGAGCACCCCCTGCTGACCTCACTAAAAACCTCTTCCAACAGCGACCTAGTTTTCCCAGGGGGTCTCCCATCCAGGTACTGACCAGGCTCAACCCTGCTTAACTTCAGTGGGCAACCAGTCTTGGGCTGCAGGGTGATATGGTGATCTGTCGTCATTTACTCATCCTCAAACCTATATGAGTTTCTTTCTTCTGTTGAACATAAACGAAGATATTTTGAAGAACGTGGGTAACCAAACAGTTGCTAGTCCATTCACTTCCATAGTATGGAAAAAAATACTATTAATTAATGGGAACCAAAAACTTCAAAATATCTTCTTTTGTTTTCAGCAGAAGAAGGAAATTCATACAGGTTTGGAACAACTTGGGGGTAAGTAAATTATGACAGAATTTTCATTTTTGGGTGAACTATCCCTTTAAGAACTGTAATTTAAAAGGCATTCTCAATTCAGTTCTGTATGGCACACAACCCTGGTGTCCATTATAGTGGACATGGAAATCTTTTTTTTTTTTTTTATATTTTGATGTTTAAAATGAAATGAAGAAAATTTATTGAAGAAATAATGCAGAAAAAATGTTTAGTAAGCAAAACGAACAAAGATTCTTGATGTTATGTATGATTTGTCTGTGCACATTATTTCAAAGAACAACATTAAAATGTAATGCCTCTGAAAAGATTTTCCTTTTTGGTTGACGTCACTGGATTTTTTTCCAGCTCCTTTCCTCCAACCACCTGTCATATACAGTAGAGCGCAGTTTTAATTATCCAGTCAATTCCTGATGGATACAAGTCCTGCATTATTTTCTTGCTGAGTATTCGGCTTCTCTCAGAAATACATCTGATTACAGAGGAAAATGGGTTGGAAACCTTGTTTTGTGATGATTTTAAACATGACCCATAAAATATTGTTCAAAATAAGAGCACATACATTTAACCATAATTATATATTACTCTGTAAATATGTCTGCCTTAAATCAGTGGGAATATAATAACCAGCTGTATGTTATTGTACACAAAGGGAGCCCCTGCACATAA